CCAATTGTATGAGAGCGCTGTAGAACTTTTTGTTGTTATTGTAATTATTATGAGCTGAAGCAGTAGGAGGACATGAAAATACATACCAGACCGAATAGTATTTTACGAGTGTGTTTCTTGGGGCCTAAGGTTTTGTTTATGCAATTTGCAAACAGCAATGCACTAAATTGCCAGTGGCATTTGTTTATGAGGCTTTGTCGTCGGCAAATGGCACAGTGTTGCGAAAGTTGCCTTAAATCGTGGTACAATGAAATCAAGGTGGGGCATTTAATCGATTTTAATGATTTTAGTTGCTTGGGTTACTATGTCAAATTTAGTTGTGTATACATATGTGCTTATTCCTTTCAATTTTATGAAAATTGTTTAGTACATATTCTAATTAAGTTGTAACCAAAATGTATAGAGGACATTATACAAGTATAAGGGTTCTTGTATTTCTTTGATTATATATGGGAAATCTATGCAAGAAGTTGATAATTGTTATTTAATACAAAATAATTTGTCGTAATTGTCATTAGAATCGATAGAGATAGGCCTCTTTACTTCCATATTTCTCTAACTTATCCTATCTTGTCTTCATTGTATCGTTTTTGGAATTTTTAAAAAAAACATCACACAATTTTCTTTCCCTCTCATAATTTTTGGTCATGATAGTATTCCAATGAATTGGCATTTGCATTTAAAACATGTTTTCCCGAAATATTTATTTAAGATTTCTGTATGTCTAAGAGCCCTAAATTATAATTATTATTATTTGATACATTACTTTTTTATCCCACTTCGTTAGAATTTCACCTTAATGAAATCTGTATAAAGATTTTCAATTATTCATAAGCTCAAAGTAATTATACAACTTTCGACAACATTTAATATTTTCCATTATTTTAGGAACATCTAGTTTGTCGGGAAAATTGTGCTAAAAATAGATTTTGAAAGTTTACACCCCTAAGTAACATACGTCAAAGGGGCAAATTCCTTAATTTTTTTTTTTTTTTGAAATGTTTGATTTAGGATTCCTTGCAATCCTTACCTTTTGTGCATATAGTGTCTTCGGCAATATTGCTGATAATAGTAAGAGAATTATTTTAACCCTCAAAGACGCCATAGAAGGGGGCGTTATGACGTCTTTGAGGGTTTAAACAATTCTCGTATTGTTATCAACAATATTGCGAAGACTTTGTTTTTTTCCAACAAAATTGTTAAAAACTCCCTTTAAACGGGATTGTAGATAGTCAAAATATTTACAAAATTATTTGACATAAAAATAAACTACAGGTCCCAAAATATGTATCAAAACCCGAAATCTTGAAAAGATTTAAATGCATCACTAAAAATTATTATTTAAAATTTTGACACATTGTGGAGAAGGTAATATAGAAATATTGGTCCGTTCTATCAAATCGCCATACCAGATGTAGGTTAATGAAAATATTGAAATATGCTCTAACTTCACATATATATTATAGAGATCAGAATATTGACTCTTTATAGTGGAGAAGGAGGAGTCAACCGATATTGTCCTTTTGCAAATTTAACGCAGCATTTATAAAAATATTTGAACTGAATTGGATAATTTTTTCTCTTTTCGTGAGTTGGCCATACAACATTTTTTAGGACCTTTATATAGGCTTAGCGATCCACAAACGGACCCCAATTTACAGGGTGACTTTATGAGGGTTCTTTTAATATGATTCGTCCTGTTGTCTGATAGCTGTTTTGACTTTTCTACCCAGTATTGTTTGTCAAATTATCATTAATAGGTTAACTCCAAAACAACGCTTCCAAATCGGGGAAAAATATTTGCTGAATCATTATCTAAGATTTTTTTTCCTAAATTTTAAGATGTGGATGTAAATGAAATGTGGTTTCAATAGGATGGTGCTACTTATCATACTGTGGGCGAAAGAATCTCCCATAATACATAATATTTTAGAAAAAAAAGTTAAAATAAGAAATATTTTAGATACTGTTTTAATATGAGTCTTCGAAGAAAGGGAAATACATATATGTATATTGATCTCTGGGTTGCCCATATTCGACGGACCCATGACTCTTTGGGCCCATTCCAATCGACGAGGCTTGTCCCCAGGCAACATTCTTTGCGTCAATTGAATTTTGTACGGGAACAAATGCAAATCAATGCGAATAATCCGTTGTAAAGTGGACCGAGCCATGCCCAACTGATGAGAACGGCGTTTTTGGGATGTTCTTGGGGACCTCTCAATACTGGCTCGTACGGCAGCGATATTCTCGGCCGATCGCCTTGGTCGACTTTTGTATGGCCTCTTCGGATTAGAAAGAGCCTTACCAGTCGAAAATTTTTCGTATAAACGCTTAATGGTGTTCTTAGAAGGCGCACTTCTCACATTTTTTAATGTTTTAAAAGCACGTTGAGTTTTTACAATTGACTTCTTCTGTTGAATGTAAATTGAACTATTTCAGAGCGCTCGCGTGGCGAGTATTGGTTCATGGTAAAAATCTGCTTGGACTGACGTTTCAAACGCGGTATGTCATTAAGCGATGTGACATCTCTGTCAAAAGTTATGGCGTTGCCAGATGGGTCCGTCGAATATGGGCAACCCTGTATATGGATCTTCATATCTCGCCGAGCTGATTCAATCTAGCTATGTTTGTATGTCCGTCCGTCTGTTTATGTTAATTTGTAATCACGCTCTAATTATGGTTCGATCCTCACGAAACTGAGCATAGAGGAAGAGTTAGGGTTAGAATAGAAGCCTGTGCTATTTATATCATATAAATAGCACAATATATACAATCTCATATATGAAAGAAGGGGATGTTTTTTAGACCACTTATAACTCACAAACGGCTTTACGGATTTTGAGAATTCTCCCCAATTCAGAATGGCCTTTTGGCAAAAAATAAATTAAATCTAGAAAAATAATAATTGCATAAAATATGTCATATTTTTTCGCCTGAGATTTTTTTCTATTTGACAAACTATATTTTATTGCACATTTTGTAATAATTTGTAATCAGATCGCAGTTATGGTCCGATCTTCACATGGGATAGGATTGAGATCATAATAGAAGCCACTTGTTTTGGAAAATGTTCGCAAAATATTTAGGACCAAATACCTAAAATAACCTACCAATAGATATGAAATTTTTTCATGCGCTTAGAGTTTAGTACATCGCTGAAGTCTAGAATTTTAGATGGTCATCGGATACTATTTTGCTGGCGAAGTGGACCACAATTTTATTGCAAAATACCAAAATTAACGATTTCACAAACACATGAATGTGATATTTCTGTTTATTCAGAAAGAGCGAATTAGTTAATATTAGTATTTGTTTCGTAAAATACTGATTGTATGTATTTGGAAAATATTGGTTCCATATATATGATGTCTATTCGGAAATATGAGCATTTAAATTCAATATTTGCTTTTATTATGTATTTATGGCGTTGTTTATTAGGGGAATCTTCATTTTAGTCAATGGTTTCATATACGCAGAAACTTTGCCGCAAATTGTAGTGTTGTAGAGTATCAAATGGTCGGATCCGCCCGCCTATAGCTTTTGCATAATTGTGTTCGTATAGCTTCTATGTTAAGTAGTATAGTATTGTTTTGCGCCCATTTTCTAATCGATGTAGTTGAAGATTTGTATTTTCCTTCGGAGGTAGAAAAACGGAAGATATGGCTAGCTTGTTCCAACATGTTTACTGTCGAATCCCATGAATTCATTTGAAAACGTTAACTTCAGGGAATGGCGAGCGAGAAAATCGAGCTGTGCTCCCATATATATCTTCGTCCGATTTGCCTTTTATTGTGCACCAAACGTGTAATATTAGCCCGAATAGTATGAAATTTTGCACACACAACCAAATTAGACCTGAAAATAAGTACGTCAAATTTGATCGAAATCGGTTCAGGTATAGCTATAGCTCCCATATATATTGTTCATCCGATTTTTGTCCTTCGCAGCCGTAATATGCACTCTGTTACAACAATATTTGGGGAAATATATCAATTACAGCCCAGAAATACATTTGCCAAATTTTATCGAGATCGGTTCAGATTTGGATATAGCTCCCATATATAACTTCGTCCGATTTACCTTATATTGTGCACCAAAAGTCTGATATTTGTCCAAATGGGATGGAATTTGGCACCTAGGATCGAATTTAGTCTAGAAGGTAGTATGTCAAATTTGGTGAAGATTAGTTCAGATATAGCTATAGCTTCCATATATACTGTTCATCCGATTTCTTACCCACAGCCGTAATATGCCCTCCGTAACAACAACATTTGGGGATATATATCAAAAACAGCTCAGAAATACCTTTGCCAAATTTTATCGAGATCGGTTCAGATTTGGATATAGCTCCCATATATATCTTTATCGGATTTCAAATTAATTTTGCACCAAATGGGCAATACAAGTCCGAATTTTAAAATATACAAATGCTTCGGCATATTTAGTCCTTTGAACTTTAAATTATAATTATAATTATAGCGTGTATGATTGAATTCTCCCATAAAAACTTTTAATTTTTATGCGGAGCTCTACTAAATTAGCAAAGTGGTGTAGGCTATCATAAAGTAGGCCCCGCCCGTCTTTAAGACTTTCTTTACTGGTTTTGTTACAATATATGGCCATAACATTACTTTTGCCAATTCCATAGATTTTTGGAGACATTTTGTTAAAACCTCTGAAGCAAGTTTTACCTCAACTAATCGGTTTTTTATTTCATTTCGGAACTAGATAAAATAATTCAATTTAAATCATATAATTCGAAATACTGTGCTTTGTGATTGAATTATAAAAAAGGATGGATATTGGAATAATTTTCGTTATAATTTTTTTTATCAAACATAGCAAATAGTCCCCTTTGGAACATATCAACATTAAGTTTTAAATTTTAACAGTTTCCATGCCACATTAATATATGCATAACTGACTTATATATATTTGATATTCCCTCTATAACGGCATCTATTTATTTGGTTATTTTTTTCTGTGTTTAATTTCAGGTCAACAATGCCGAAGTACAATATATCCCAACCATCGATAATTTGATTGCATCACGCATTAGCTTAAAACTCCAATTGCAGGGTATACATTTCAGTAGCGCTAATCCCTCGGTGTACGGCCATAGTGTTTACGGTATGAATTCCGTACACGGTGGCGGATTAGTGTTGCGTTGCACCGCAACCATTGGTGAATTTTATCAGGAATACAAGGAAATTGAACTGGGTACACCGCAAAAGGATCCAGTACCAGCACGAGGTAAGCACTTTGTGGATTTTAATGTTGTGTGTGCGTGTGCAATTTTAAGATATTTCCCGTGTGTGTGTGTGTTGGTGTTTGTTAATTGAGTTTTGAGTCGGAGAGAGAGAGAGAAAAAACGCTACAGCAAAATTGATTGCAAATAAATGATGCCCGACATGCATGCAATGTGAACTGCATTATTTAAATGGCGAAACAAATTGAAATTCGTTGATGTCACACATATTTTTTTAAATTCGAATTTTCCTAAATGCAAATTTGGGAAATGTTGTTTAAAGATCCAAATTTAGTTATAAATTCAATGTTATATCTTGAACAATATAGCTGAAAAAATTTAATTAATTACAATTAAATAATTTTATTTTCATTACAGTAACACTTTCATCGAGTTCATCGGTACGAAATTTCATGTCATTCTTCTCTTCGGGCAGCAGTAGAACAAACCCAACGTCAACGGACTACACAAAGATGTTACTGCTATCAAGCGTCTGGCATTTAACATCTCTCGGATCACTGATACTGCAAACCTACTCTACTTTATATAACCTTTTAAGGTACAAATATACACAAATCCAATGGCAGCTGCTGCTGAGACATTCACAGAATGTTGGCGTGCATTTACGATTATTATCTCAGAGATAACTTTATGGCTTTGAAATCAATTAATTTTCCAATGAATGAATATAGTGACTACAACAACAGAAAAACATAAACGAACAAAAATATTATTTAATTTAAAATAAAACAAAATAAACAAATAAAACCCTCCAAAACAGGATAGAGGGCACACAGTGGTTATAGAAATACATTGGATATAGAATTCGTTTCCAGTTATTCATATTCAATGATGTTATATATTAAATTTTTGAATGTTCCAGTGAATAATCCTATATGCTGGAATATGTCAAAGTTTATAGGAATCCAAGCTATAACATGGCTGCTTATGAATGAAGGGCATTTTCTTCGTCAGTTTCTTTTACGGGAGTATTGGACTAATTCCGAATTTCGAAAACATTTCTTGATACATATATAATAGATTCTAAACCAATCAATTCTAATATTTATAAAATTAAGTAAAATCATTATATGGAAGACGAAGGAAAAATGAAAAAAGTATAATTGACGATATGTCACATGTTTTTTCTTACCCATTGTGAATCTAAGGTAGAAATCTGTTACTCTCTACTGACGTCTTCCTTACAAAGGATTCTTTATATGCTTCCAATGTTTGTGCCTATACTACATCTAGTGTGGGGATTTGATCAAAATTTGTAAAGCATTTTGCTAAGGCGAAAAATGTGACTTCCTGAAACTTCCGGTACCTCCACCACAAAGTTCGAACATTTATATTAATCAATTTCTGAGGACATGGATTGTTTGCTTTACTCCCTATTGGACACCTAGTTATAGATTCGTAATTGTCTCCAATTTTGAATTTATTGGCCCATTTTTCAGTCTGTGTTTCGACAAATATATTTACCCTCAGCTTTGGCCACTCCCTTACAAGGACGTCCTATTAAGAGTGGACCTGCATAACCCAACCTTACCTTTGACATAATGTTAGCACAAATATTGCGATTCTGGTATAAATATTAGTGCATACCTATTTTTATCGGTACTCAATTGTCATTTATGAGAAAAATACATGCATTTTCCTTCGAAATGTTGAAAACTCGGCTATTGGAAGTCTCTTAGGTACTATCCTTTTTGTTGGGTTTCGTTTTTGAAATAATGCCAGACAGGCCTGCACAAATGTTATCTTTGACTTTTGGCCGCATGAATTTACCCCATATTTACGCTCTCTTTCGTGCTGATGGGTATTCAATATAATTTCAAACAAAATTTTTATTTTACTCGCTAAATATAAACCAATGGCCATCTAAAATGCTAGAGTATCAGTCCTGTCCTAAACTCTAACTTCATGCTTAATTGTTTTTAAATTGTGGCCTGTAGATCAATGATAAACTCAGAAAATTTGTTATTATACCCTCAGCCATATGGCTGGAGAGGGTATATATCATTTGATAGGTCAAAATATGCCTAGTCGAAATAACGGTTTTAGACCATAGGTCTCTTCAAACCAAATCCGTTTCAGGACATTTGGAGTCGATCTAGCGATGTCCGTCTGTCTGGCTGGTGCGCACGATAACTCTCGAAGGGAGTATCCGATTTGGTGTAAATATTTTTGTAAACTTAGATCGAGTTCGGAGATGGGCAATATCGGATCACTCCTTCTGGCACCTCCCCTAGAAAAGATCAAAATTTTCAAAAAATACATTTTCTGTACAGAAAGAGGAAAGATAATACGAATTTGCTCCAACTTTCCAAATCCTAATATCTGCGTCAGTGATAGGTCAGGTGGACAAATGGGTGCGAAAATGGACAATATCGGTACACTCTATCAAGTACCTCCCCCACAAAGGGTCAACATTTTGTATAATTACAACTCTTATAAAATGTGATGTAAGAGTTTGATTGATTGTCTTCAAATTTCACACATTTTTATATTTTTATGAAACCAAGATCTGGTTTTAAAACGGCAAAAGGTCGAAATTTTGAATATCCATTAAGCGAAATATAAAACGCGAAATTATCATTCGTTTCCATTTAGACTTAGCACATTTGAATATTTCTATCAACACAGGATCTGGTATAAAGACGGTAGAGATCGGACCATTCCTTCAGTACCTTCCCCACATGGGGTTCAAAATTTTGAAAGACAAAACGCCAAAGAATGCGAAATAAAAATTAACTCTCTTTACATTTCACACACACACACAAACATTTTTGCTAATTCTCCTTCTGATACCTCACCCACTAGGGTGACAATTTTCAATACTTTTATCTGTCGAACTTATGAAGCAAGTCAGCGATTCTTTACAACTTGCTATATCTAAATGTATTTCTCTCAACCAGAAACCAGAGATGAATATTAAATTTAAGATTTCCTATAAATTTTATATAATTGTTCGATTTTCTTATAATTTTGATCATACTAATATTTTTTATCGATATTAGATGAAGCATGAAAATCGAATATTTCGGTCGACTATATCTGGTACCTCACGCATATGTTAACATTTTCTGAAAATTATCACATATTTCATATAAAGTGAAGGAAGTTACCAATATAGTCCACACCTAGCGCGTCGCAATATTTACATCATATTTATTTAGGTCCGATACGAAATAGACAAAACCAAAACCCATTCTTTCAAACCCACTCCATAGAGGGTCAAGAGTTTGAATAATCGTAAGAGAGGTCAAAATATTTTTAAATAATCGAACATTGGATGAGGGTATACATCTGTCGGCAACCAACCGATACTTCTTGCAACATTGTAAGGAAAATTTAAAAAATCTCATGCGATAAAAAATATAACTAAAAATACTCAATTTTATTGACATATTTTTACGCGATTTTCTTAGATTTAGTCCTTTTCTGGCAAGAGGTCATTCCGCATTGGTGAGAATTGTCAAAATCAGCCCAGCAGTTCTATATGAATAATATCAATTTCTTTTACATATATTATACATGCAACCCTGTATGTATATTCGACGGACCCATCTGGCAACGCCATCAATTTTGACAGAGATGTCACGTCGCTTAATGACATACCGTGTTTGAAGCGTCAGTCCAAGCAGATTTTTACCATGAACTAATACACGCTACGCGAGCGCTCTGAAATAGTTGAAATTTAAACAGAAGAAATCAATTTGAAAACTCAACGTGCTTTTCAAACATTAAAAAATGTGAGAATTGCGCCTTCTAAGAACACCATTAAGCGTTTATACGAAAAATTTTCGACTGGTAAGGCTCTTTCTAATCCGAAGAGGCCATATAAAAGTCGACCAAGGCGATCGGCCGAGAATATCGCTGCCGTACGAGCCAGTGTTGAGAGGTCCCCAAGAACATCCCAAAAATGCCGTTCTCAGCAGTTGGGCATGGCTCGGTCCACTTTACAACGGATTATTCGCATTGATTTGCATTTGTTCCCGTACAAAATTCAATTGACGCAAAGAATGTTGCCTGCGGACAAGCCTCGTTGATTGGAATGGGCGAAGATGACGCGCAATTTTGGAACAAAATTATCATGTCCGATGAAGACCATTTCACATTGAATGGGACCGTAAATAAGCAAAATTGCCGTTTTTACGCCACTGAAAATCCTCAGGAGATTCAAGAAGTGCCTCTTCATGACGAAAATGTCACAGTTTGGTGCGGCGTTAGTGCGCAAACGGTCATTGGGCCGTTTTTCCTTCAAAATGAAAATGGCCATGCTGTTACCATCAATCAGGAGCGTTATCGCGACATGATGACCAATTTTGTGATGCCAATTATTCGTCGAGAGCGTATGAGGCAGTTCTGGCTTCAACAAGACGGCGCTCCACCGCACACAAGTCGCATAACAATCGATTTTCTGAAGAATTTGTTGCCGGGCCGTTTGATGTCGAAAAGTGGTGATTTGGACTGGCCACCGCGTTCGCCCGATTTGACGCCGCCTGACTTCTTCTTGTGAGGATATTTGAAGTCAAAGGTTTACGTTAACATGCCAAGGACCGTAGAAGAGCTCAAGGACAACATTCGTGAAGAAATAGCCGCTATTCCGGCCGAAATGTTGGCAAAAACATATACATCATCAACGCCAGAGGCGGCCATTTGAGAGATATCATATTCAAAAATTGATTGAAATAATCTACTTGGAACAAATTAAATGATTAACATTGCCAACCGCCAAATTTTTATTTTTTTCTTTGATTTAAAAAAAAAATGTGGGCAACCCTGTATATTGTACCTATTTTGGCTATCAGCGTAACTGTAACGACCAGAAGTGATCTTTAACGTATTTCGCCGGTATTAAATATATTAATTAAATATAAAATTAAAAAAAAACGCAAACAGGAATCGTATACCCTTGCTACGTCAGTGTGTTGCAGAATATTTTTAACTCAGGCGATTTGAAAGAGATTTAAAGTATTTTCCTAAAGAATAGAAGAGTCTTCTCCACATTTATTTTTCCTTGAAAACATCATCTACATTGATTCTGAAAACTTTTGTGTCACAATTGATCTAACCTTTTGTACAATAAAATCACTGTGTGGACCTATGAAATAAATATAAAATACAAATTGTGTTATATTTAGCGTAAAATTATGATGAGGATGGTGTGGAAGACATGATATAAAGTCAGCTGGATAATGATAACGATAATGATAATTTTAATGCTTATTTTTAATTTGTTTTTTTATTAAACAAAAGTGAGAAAACCCTTTTTTTTGTAGTATTATGATTATTATTATTATAAATTATATTTTTATAGTTATTACAATTAAGGCAAACAAACAAACAAACAAACAAATAAGCATACGCAAAAAGAATAACATAAACATAAAAGCTATAAAAGTAAAATTGTAATTGTTTATTAATTGTTTTTGTCTGTTTCTAGATGTTAAGACAATGTAAAGAAGGGTCAACAAGAACAACAACAACATTAAACACTACCCATTCATACAACAGAAACACAGTCACAGTCAGTCAGTCAGTCCCCTTTTCCCCTTTCCAAGTGAAGAAACAAAACGAAAACTCTGTATGAAATTAAATGATAAGACACAGGATAATACTAATAATTGAATATTAAATATAATTGAATATTAAAATTCAATCAAGGCCGAAGATCTTGAGTGTAGTTAATGAAATCTGTAATAATAATAATAATAATAATTGAAATAAATAAAAACAGCAAAATACACCTTTACCTATAAGTTTAACTACAAAATTAAATTATATTAAAAAAATGAATATTGAATAAATGTTTTAAAACACAAAAGAAAACAACATTTAAAATCAATACCAATAAAGAACAGAAAGTAAAAAAGAAAGAAAAAAAATAAACAACTATGCCTCAAGGCAAAAATAATATGTCCTCCCTCCTTAAATGAAATCCACACACACACACACACACACTTACATACACACACATACTTCATGTAATAAAAATTAACGTAACATTTTAAATGTGAACACAACCACAAATGGAATATAATTAATAATATTATGTGCATAATTGCAGTCGGCGGTGACGAGCGAGAAAAACAACCATACAATTACAACAAAACAAAAAGAAAGAAAGAACAAGAAAAAACAAATCAAACACATTGTAAATTAATTAAAAACATACAAAGTAAATTAAAAATTTAATATGCATATTGTAAAAGTATGAACATAATAATAATGACGATAATGTGAGAAAAATTATTATAATAAAAAAACCAAAAAAAAAAAAAAAAAACAACAACAACATGATGATGATAATGAAAAAACCTAAATAAATGAAATGTTAATTTTAAAATAAATGAAATTGTTTTGCAATTAAGTTTGAAATGTTAAACGATAGGGTAAGTATGTGGCTAACAAATAGAAGAATAAAATGACAATGCTTGGGCAGATAATAAGATAATACGTGAATTGCTCTCTATCAGCGAAAGAAAACTAACGAAACATATAATGCACCGCTCACACGAGGTCATAAACTTTAATTTTTTTAAATCGTTTTGTACTTTAAACAAAACAAAACCACAAACATTTCAGTGCTAGAAGTACACAAAAAATTCGATTGCTTTAATGTGTTTCGGCTGTGAGTTGCCGAGCTGCATCGTCTGCGAACAAATCGCCGGGAAACATTTGCAAACGTTTGCTGTGAGAAATGATGACTGGTACATTTAGAGTTGCCATTCTAAATATTATTTTTTGTACCGTTTTTCATTATCTGATATAAAATAATATAAATATTAAACAAAAAGTCATGAATTTAACTTTATACTAATTTTTACATTATTTTAAGGAGTATATATAAAGGGAAACGCTTACTGTACTGTTCTGTTTCGTTTTCAATGTTGCGTCATCCAGCTGAGTACATTTCAGTTTTGTTTTTGTTTCCACACATCTACACAAACGGTACAAAATAAAACTAGTAAAAAAGCAGTAAGTTTGGCAGGTCCGAACTTTCAATATTCTCCATTTGGAACGAATTAGAAAATTTTCAAAAAAAATAAAATCCATTAAAAATTCTTTTAAAATCTTTAACATATCTAATATAGGAAGGTGCCAATATATGGGGGGATATACGATATTGTGGGCCTAAAAGACAAACCTATGTCTGCGTGTAAAGAACTCACAAGAAACTCCTCGTGTGGATTTTCAGATAATTCCATTGCAAAAGGTGGCTAAAATCATCAAAATACCGAATATAGGGGAGTACCGTTATATGGGGGATATACGATATTGTGGACCTATATAGACAATTCCGATTCAGGGGTAAAGTGCTCACAAAGAAATCCGTGTGTGGATTTTCAGATAATACGATTGGAAAATGTGGCTAAAATTATCAAGATACCGAATATCGCGGGGTACCGTTATATAGGAGCTATACGTTATCGTTAACCTATATAGAGAATTTTCTGTCGGGGGGTAAAGTGCTCACAAAGAACCCCTTGTGACCATTCCGTTGAAAAATATGGCTAAAAACATCAAAACACCGAATATCGAAGGGGTACCGTTACATGAGGGCTATACGATATCGTGGACCTATATAGATAATTCTCTGCCGAGGTATAAAGTACCCACAAGGAACTCCTTGTGTGGATGTTCAGACAATTCCGATGAAAAATGTGGGTAAAATCATAAAATACCGAATATAGGGGGGTTCCGTTATATTGGGGATATACGATATCGTGGACCGATATAGCCCATCTTCAAACTTGACCTGCCTGCAGACAAAAGAGAGATCTGTGCAAAATTTTAGCTTCCTATCTTAATTCGTTTAGACTGTAGCGTGATTACAACAGTCGGACAGACGAATGGACAGGGCTTAATCGTCTTAGAATTTTACGTTGATCAAGAATATATATACTTTGTTGGGTCTAAAATGATTATTTCGATGAGTTACAAATGGAATGACGAACTTAATATACCCTCCACACTTTTTTTGGTGGAGGGTATAAAAACAAGTCCCGTTTTTTAATATTGGTTTTGTTTCGTTTCATACTTTGAGAAACTAAAAAACGAAACGATTGCATACGTATAATATAGTTTATTTTCGTACGCTGCTCTCTATGTACAGGGTGAGATAAAAAAACTGCAACAAAGTCTAACGCCATAATTTTTATATATTTTTGTTAAATTTTATTGAATGAAACCAAAAAATTTTGGAAATAGCATCAAATTTTAGAATAAGTTTAGATTTGTTCGAATTGGTAAACTTTCGAACGGATTATGACCTTCAAACGGCCATTGAAACCGTCACACGCTGCCCGAATGTTGCTCTGCGGTATTTTGGGCCATTCCGAATGTGGACAACGAATGTTGTCTCATCGGAGAAAAACCAAATTCGGCAGTTCACCAGTTTCGGCCAAACGAAGTAACTCTTTAGCTCTTTTGAGTCTGTTTTCTTTCTGTTGCAGTGTAAATTCTTGTACTTTTTGGAATTTCAATGGCATTACCCCGAGCTCATTTTTCATATTTGCTGAATGGAATATTGCGATATATTCAACTCACGAGCCATTTTTCGGCCACTGCGACGCGGGTTTCGATCAAGTCGCTTCTTTACTTTTCGAACCATTTCTGCTGATGTTGCTGTGGAGTGCTCTAACAATAGCCACTTGTGGTTTTCCAGCCAAATATAAAGAAATCACACTCTCGCGCTTGAATTCGATCACGAATAACTTTTTTTCTGGAAAATTCTCACCAAAATGATGTTGTACGCTTGTAAACAATATAATAAGCTGTCACTGGAACAATTTTTACAGGTGTCGGACGAATGGCTCTAGAAATGTCAGCAGTCTGAAGTTGGGTGTAGTTTATCATCTCACCCTGTATTATTAGATATGGTATTTCTGTTATTAGGGAATGCTTCAGGTTAGGTTGGGCCGAACTTTCAATTATTTCAGTCGGAAAATATCTCCTATAAAAAATGTGTCGGTTAATGCCGAAATTCGAGTATTTGAGGAGTACACGTCATTTCTGTCGAAGAACATACAATCTAAGTTTTAAAAATTTTTTGAAAAATTTACCCAAAATCATCAAGGTACCGAATATCTGGTGGATGTAGAAAAAACGTTGACGAAAGCCAAATATCGACTTTTAAATTATATTGTTAGAAAATGTCGCTAAAATCGGCTAAATATCATAGGGCAACGTAAACCTATATGAAGAATGTTTCGCCACAGTAGGTAGAACCCATTATGAGCAGTGACTACCAAATTGAATACCGTTACGTTAGAAATTTTCCAAAATTTTGAAAAAGCTGAATATGTGATTGTACCATTACATAGGGACTGTAGAAAATGTGGACAGCTATTCCAGCTGCCTTCTGCCACAGACAACGTAACTCATTACAAACTCTGCATAACGAATTTTAAATGATTTCCATGAAAAATGTAGCTAATCTCAAAAGAATACCAAATATCAAAAGGTACCGTTAGGCTGTAGGAAAACGTGAACCTTGAGAGATAATGTTCTGGGTACAGGTACTTACAAGCTCTATGTGTCGAATTTTAAACAATTCTCTTTGAAAATGTGGCTTAAATCTTTAAAATACCGAATATGAGGAGGTATAGTTATATGGAATCTATAAGAAAACGTGGACCTACTAGACCCATTTATAAACTTGACTTGCCTATTGACAAAAACACATGCAGGCAAAATTTTAGCCTTCTGTTACAAGTCAGCTACACGCACTTCTTTGGTAAAGAATATATATACCTCGTACGTTCCAAAATAATTATTTCGCGGTTTGCAAACGGAATGACAAACTATGGTGGTAGGGTATACAAACTGGTAGAAAACTGCGGCCAAAATCGCAGTGTTTGTAGCAACAACCCGAACGACCAACATTACAATTACACTCAAAAATTGACGTTTCAGCCGATCCTCCCTCTCAAACTGTCATAATATATATGACAACAGTAATAATGTCAACTGAGGATAGGAATTTTTATTTTTGACCATGGTCTAAACGAAAATATGGATCTGTATAAATAAATGTGCGACATACAAAATAATTACAAGAACACCGAGCAGATTATCAAATGAGATCTTAGCGCATCGGCGTTTTTGTACCCTACACCAAAATGTGGTCATTGTGCATTTGCTTGTAAGATGCAAAAGAAAACGAGATAGACCCATAGTTCCTTTTTATGATCTGCATAAAATCACATTCTGAGTCGATTTATGCATGTCCGTCCACCCGTCTGTCTTTCCGTCTGTCCATGTATTTTTGTAAATCAAAAATCATCTGTTTAGCCCAAAGACAAACTCTATTGAAATTGGAGATAATGAGTCAAGATTTAGATATAGCTTCCATATATATCTTCGTCCGATTTGCCTTTTATTGTGCACCAAAGGTGTATTATCCGACCAAATAATACGGAATGTTGCACATAATACCAAATAAGGCCTGAAAATAAGTATGACAAATTTGATCGAAATGGGCTCAGATATAGATATAGCTCCCATATACAGGGTGAGATAAAAAAACTGCAACCAACTTCAGACTGCTGTAATTTCTAACCCACTCGTCCGGCAGCTGTTAAAATTATTCCAGTGACAGCTCATTATATTGTTTACAAGCGTACAAAGGCATTTTGATGAGAATTTTCCAGAAAAAAAAAATATTCGTGATGGAATTAAATTAAAATTTATTTATATTTGGTTGAAAAAACAGAAGTGGATAAATATTTTGAGTCTCGTACCATCGCTCGTTACCTTGATACTGGTAGAGTAGCTCGACGTCAAGGAAGTGGACGAAGTGGAAGAAAACAGCAACATCAGCACAAATGGTTCGAAAAGTAAAGTAACGACTTAATCGAAACCCGCGTCGCAATATTCCATTCGGCAAATATTGAAAAATGAGCACGAAGTAAAGCATTTGAAATTTCAAAAAGGGCAAGAACTTACACCGCAACGGAAAGAAAATAGACTCAAAAGAGCTAAAGAGCTGCTTCGCTTGGCTGAAAGTGGTGAACTGCCGAATTTGGTTTTATCCGATGAGAAAACATTCGTTGTCCAGCAGTTTGTAAACAAACAAAATGATCGTGTTTACTTGCCAAAGAGGTCAGCTGAAAATGTACACCTTC